GCGGGCCCGGGGCTGCCATGCTGGGACCCTTAGGCACAATGGTGGACCCTTAGCCACTTTAAAGGTGGCTGCTCTATGCTCTGGATACTGGGGAGTGAGGAGGGAGGCTTTGTGTGTTGTTCTATCCTCCAGCAAAACAGGAGCTGATAAATTTTGCTGCAAGGGCAGGGGCAACCAATGGTGCCTCTTCCCTCCCTCCCCCATACCCTGCCCCGAGCAGAGCCAAATGGAGCAACCTGTGACTGCAGCTCAGGTTCTTGCAGGGCTGCTGGTTGGAGCCCTCCTAGCCAGAGCCTGCCCCTGGCACTGAACCGTCCCCCGCCCTGCCCCCCACCCTCCCACAACTACTGGGTACATCCAAAGCTGGAGGGTCAATCTCTCTTCCAAACAAAAGCAAAGCAAGCGACGTGGCTTAGGCATTGCAGAGTGCAGTTACCAAGTGTAAATCCATCCTTCTCCACAAGCCAAACTTTCTCCGTTTCATACCATACATCGTCATGCACCTGGGGACGAAAGGAGAGTCAGACTCCAGCTGCAGGAGACAGGCTGGACCTGATTGCTTAAAGTCTTGGGTCTTTGACCTCACAAAGACAATGACTATTGGCTTCCCAGCACCAGGGATTAGCATCAGTTCTTCATTTGCATTCCATCGGGCTTTTCCCCCTTTGATAGGTTACTTAGTCACCGAGGTTTATACTGTGGCAACGCTTGCTATTATGTTATAACTGGGTACAGACAAATGAAAATAATGCATGCTACATCCCCCTCACGATTCATGAAATTTAAACATTGAACATATTCTTCTACATTTCAACATCTGCGTACGTTCTAAGCAACTTGTGGCTTTTAAATCTACAGAACACACTGCGTCTTCGGATCTGGGGTCTTGAAAAGCTTGTATGTTATTTCAGTCCTCCTGTATCAAAGGGTATGTCTACACATCAAAGTTAATTCAAAATAACAGCTGTTATTTCGAATTAACTTTCCTAGTGTCTACACAGCCAAACTGCTATTTTGAAATAAATTCGAAATAGTGGAACCCTTATTTCAAATTTGGTAAACCTCATTCTACAAGGAATAACACCAAATTCGAAAAAGCTAATTCGAAATAAGTGCTGTGTAGACACTTATATCGAAATAGGGGGCCTCCAGCCTTCCCAGAGTGCCCTGGTGGCCACTCCAGCCTCAACCAAGAACACGCCTCTCCCTCCCCCACTCCCCAGAGCCCTTAAAGGGGTAGACTCTGGCCACAGTGCCTGTGCCAGCTCCAAGCCTGCCAGCCCAGAGCCAACAGT